TAAATTATTATTTAACAAAAACTACGTTAGGTGGGTCAGGGACGCTCCACAGTAATACTAAAATAATTTTCATTAATTGTTTTTGTTTATAAATATTTATTTTCTTTAGGAAATGCATTTTGCCCCTCGAGTGATTCGAATTCCGCGCTGCTCCCGCCGCTAGTACGCTGCGCGGCCGGAGAGGGCAGTGCGGACCAGGTGCAAGCCATCGATGGAGTCCAGTGTACGCTACGGCGGGCAGAATCCCGTCGTTTTACACATGCTTTCTTTCTCTTATCACCTAGAATACATTGGCTAACACATGCGTTCTCATTCTCACAGCGTCCGTCCCGTTCCACATACACCAGGGCGGGCAGAATCCCGCTGTTTATGCATGCTTTCTTTCTTTCACCATCTAGAATATACACATGCGTTCTCTTTCTCGGCATCCCCCCTTTCTTGCCGCCGCAAATCAACTGTTTCTATATAATTTGGTAATTTTTATTATTATGAGAAAAGTGCTAAACTTCAAAGGCTTTTTTTCATAAATTCCTGACAGATGAGACCTATTGTTTCAACAAATAGTTTTGTCTATTGAAGAATACAAACTAATGAAGTACGGCGAAAATCGGTAACAACTACGTCCTCGTACTCTCCTGTAAATTACATGTGCTGCAAAGCGTAGTATTGTTCGATCTTCAATAATTATATTATATCAAGATATAATAAGTGAAAAATGTACACTGGCCGATATGAATGCCTTTCCATCATGCATTGCCGTTTCCGTGTTTGCAGGGAAGGCATTCGTGTCCTCCGCAGTACGAATCGACATACGAGTCAACAGGCAGCTGTAGAGCCCTCGGTGGTGTCTCGGGTCTAAATCTGTTTTTTGCCCCGTCTTGAGACGCACAGTGCGGAGAACCGGATCGTTGGCGGGGGGGGGGGGGGTACGAACCCCCACTTAAAGCATATATGCCCACCCCACGGTAACTCACGCCGTCCATGCTCTTCCCCTCGCTCTGTAATGCTTCAGGTCGTCCGTGCCGCCATCTAGCGTTCCACTTTGTGACTATTTATTGGGTATCAACACATCTCTGGTATCAAGCTTCAACACGGGAACTGGGCTTCTATGGAGACTTCTGAATGCTTTGTCTCTGTTCTTATATACTAGATTTTATATTTTCTAAGCAAAATCAAATTTCGAAGAAATTTACTTGGAGATTGTATACAGGTTATTTCTGATGGATAAAAATTTCTCTAATGAGTGTAACAGATGTTCAGTTACAATTCCATAATCGCAGTTTTAACGCATGCAAAATTGATTTATTTATTAAGTAACAGAATAAATAATGACCGAATTGCATTTAATTACAACTCTGAAATATAATTTTTTCTTATGATACCGAAGGTAAACATGATTAAATATATTGAGTTCTCACAATTTGTTAGCCATTTATTATACACTTTTCATCCTATCGCTGTGAAATTTATAATATAGTGTAACTATCACAGCAGGAAGTTTCTTCCACTTTTAAATACTAATGTTGACGCTGAGTTGTGTTTACGGAATCATTATGAGAGCCACCTTGATCAAGTTGAAGATGGAAAAAAATTCGAGAGGGAGCAAAGCTGCCAGTTATTCTCGGTGCCTTCAAGACAGTCCTTTAAGAAACTCGAAATGGATCCTACAGGCCCTACAAGATGTTCGAAACAAATTTCAGCACAGCGACGATTTTTCCAATGGGCTGTCAAATGGTTTTACACGGAATATGTTGAAGATGTACGGACAAAAATTTACTAGTGTCATTTCGCAATTTTAGTCTCATTGCAAAATATTGAGTGATTTCTTTACTTCTAGACATCCATTAAGCCTGATGTTCCAACCCTGGCTTGTCTCTTGAAAGCTACAGGATTTCAATTAATACAGTATGAAAAGCAAAACGATCATTTAGAGGATGAGAGACCAAAGATGGATAGTATTAGAATTACGATCGAATGTGGTACATCTAATATGAAAGCGATTTTAGAAATGAATGACGTTAAGTGTCAATGTCCTGCACATGAGAATGCTAACGATGGATCCTTTTGGTGTATCAGTGGTTTGGGACCTGCAGTCAGTACGGTAAGGTCTTTAATTACTGATTTTCAATCATTACAACTTAGAGTTTTATTGTTTTTAGGATAGTATCAACAAAGTTGAAGAGACTGGAAGTACGTTGCTGCCTCAAGTGCCAAAAGAAATAAATGGTATCATCCGGGACATATCCTTTCGCCTCTTTAAGATGATTAACAACAAGTCAGATGTGAATCAGAATTCTGAGTCGGATTTGAATCTCTCAGCTATTGGTGATAGTGCTAAATCGAAAGTTCCCGAGATAAAAGATTTGGGTATTTTTCGACATCATACTCAGCCTGAATTGAATACCTCGAGATCATTGGATGCTTTAAATACAATAGGAAAGGAAGCTGTTAAAGTTTCACAGAATGAAAAATCTATGAAAGAACTACCTTCCAGAATGTCCCGTTCAAGTCCTGAACTACACAAACCTAAGGTAAACTCGAAGGATTGTAATGTACATAGGAATTTATTATATAGTGCCACCTATTAAACTTTAATCGTTAACATTTTTCTGCAAAATTTCTTTGCATAGGATGCTTCCTATACAAAGGTTGAGGCAAGTGAGAACAAAATTCCAGATATCGTTATCATTGGTTCTTCACCTTCATTGCCGATACGCAAACCATTGTTGAAACAGGCAACCTATGGCATTGATGTTGATACACAGAGCATGGATAGTGAACCCCGTGCATCTCCACCAAAGATGTGTAGCTCTCCTGTGCTAAATGAACTGTGTAACTCTTTAGACCAAATATCAATGCACAATGATGAAGAAAATGTCATTTTAGCGAAATTTTTACTAAGAGCTCATCAGAATATGGAAAAAGCTATGAAAATGTTACTAAATAGGATACCAAACTTAGATGTTTCCATTCAAGGTATCATATGTTAAGTTAAAAATGTATAATAAATAGTAGTAAAATAAGTTGCGCATATTATCCGTTATTCTGTTTTTAGATTCAGACGTCTTTGACAAGCCAATGCCTTTACGCAGCTCCAGTTTCCGTGTAAGTCCAAGTGATACAGAGTCTCGTTCAGGGTCTAGTTGTTCGGTGCCAAATCAACCTACAAACATATTATCCACTATGCAAAAACCAACACCACGTAGGAGTATCAGTGGCAATGCTCTGAAAACTGCCCAGAAGCCCACACCAACAACTCCAAAACTTCTCTCTTTACGTCGTCGAAGTTTTGGCAATCCTTCAACGAGTGCTTTTGCAAAATTCTCAATCCCTGCAACAAATGCTTCGAAAACTGCCAATACTTTGATGTTACCTGCCAAGAAAAGCGCAAATGAAAGGGTCTCTCTCACTGCAGAGAGGCGAGTTTCACCAGAACTAAAGCCTAATCTATCACGAACTTACAATCCAGATGAAACTATAAACTTGTCACTATTAAAAGCGCCTGCTAAAGTACCCAGGGCTTTGAATGTATCGGTAAAGCCCAAGTCTTCTACTCCGGTAACAAGTGGAACACCGAGACATTCCACTGTTAGTAAACCATACGTGGGAACACCTCGTCCATCTCTTCAGATTTCCAGGTCACATGGAGAGCCTAAATCTTCAACATCGACCGGAACATCTAAACCAGCTCCCACAGCTCCATCAAAGTACGGATTTGGAAGGAAGAAACCTTAAAGAGTTTCGGCCTATCCTACATCTTAAACGTTACATGTTTCACTGGATACAAACTTTTTAATTTTACGTTGACATGTAAACATGTCAACGTAATTAATCGCGTTAAGTATTTCCACACGAGATCTATTACATATTTTGTGTATTTATATGAATTATTTTTTAATGCATTTTGAGCTACATTGAATATTCTCCTACATTTTCCCCCACCAGACCTAGCAATTGATTCGACACCGGAACGAGGAAAAACAACATAATTACAATTTTATTACCATACGATAATGTGAGAAACTTTTCCTAATGATATTTACTTCTTGCAGTGTATTACTTATTGTAGAGTAAAAACTACTTCTTTTGTTCCATTTGTTATCGCAGATTTAATTCACACACTTTAGTACTTATTTTAGAATAAAAAGTAATGAATTATACTATACAATTTAGGAATGTTATTATCCCTGGATAAGTACTGGACTCCGAGAAATAATTTCACGATATGTAGTGGAACGACAGAAATAATTTTTACTCTACAATAATTATTACCCTGCAAGAAACAAATGTCATTACGAACAGTTTCTCACATTATCGTAAGGTAAGAAAACAATGTCATTATTAAGTTCATTCATAACTTTATTAACCAACTTTCTTACGCTACAATAATGTACGAAACATATCGTAATGTCATTTACTTCTCGCATTGTAATAATTATTATACAGTAAACATCATTTCTTCCGTTCCACTACATATCATAGAAATATTTCTCGTAGTCCAGTACATATCGTGGGATAATAACATTCCTCATCGTATAGCATAATTTACTACTTTTTATTCAATGATAAGTATTACAGTATGAGAAATAATTGTACGATAAGTAGCGGAACAGAAGAACTAATGTTTACTGTATTGTAGTGTAATTATTACCGTGCGAGAAGTAAATGGCATTACAAAATGTTTCAGACATTATCGTAATGTTCTTCGGGATGCTGGAATCGGGGGAGGAGATTTTTAGGAACGTCGTCGAGGATAGGTTAAGACGAAGTTCGGATGCATTTACAAAGAGCGATGATTGGCTGCAGGATAGTGAGAAGGGGAAAAGTTTATGCACTTTTGAGTCGTAGGTGGGGAAAGCAAAAATGAGCTAAAGGAGGAGGGATTCTAGGAAAGGACCAACTCAAGGGCTACAGGACTACGGTGATAGAAAGGTACTGGACGGTACGGGTCCATGTTTTACAATTTGAGGTTTAAAGTTATGGACCTCAAGAGAGAGACTTACGTGAAAAGGAGAAAGCGAAGAGGGTCGCGGATAATGCGAACTATGAGAGAAGTGATAGAAGACAGACACGGACTAGAAGATTGGGAAAGAATACCCTGCCCACCGAGGGGGTTCGGGGGTCGCCTCTTACCCTTAACGGACAACCAGGCGCCAGAATGTCCGACGGGTTGTCTGGTCCGCTTGAGTATCGCTATGATTCGATATCGTATTAGCAATGGATAAATGAAGTTTGCGTATTGGCTTGAACATGCCGCCCGTCTCTTCCGGACGGACGAAATAACTGCGTATTGGGACGCGTTGAGTTGAATGCCAAATTTCAGTTATTTCTAATAGCGAAATTGAATACCACCTTAATTGTAGATAGCGCGCTTAATGTCTAACTTACGAATTAGTCAATAGCTGCCGCTCGCCGTGCAAGGGTGCCCGGTCGGCGATAGCATAAGCCGCTGGTGTGGAATCGCTGGCGGTCGCTGGACTGGGTTCCAGCGGAAGTGGACAGACCTTAGCGATCGGTCGTCACAGGCTTGTGGTGGCTGTCCGCAGCGTGACCACTCAGACGAGTCCGTCAGCGCCGGGATGAGTGGCGATGATGCGTGCCAATGCCCATCGTGTTGGAGGAAGGCGCTCGTCTTTGATGAGCGCGAGCATGCCTACGTACAGATTGGGAGCGATGGATGTCCACTTATACCGCTGTTGCAGATTATGCAGGTACTCCATGGACCATTGCTACCAAAAATCCTCGTGCATGCGTTGAGTCAACTGCCATCTCGGCAGCCGATTGTCTGAGATGTCGGTAAGGCCGGGCTCCGGAATGGTGGTCATTGCTGAGCGGATTAGAAAATGCTCTGGAGTTAGAGCAGCCAGGTCGTGCGGGTCGCTGCTCAACGGTGATAGAGGCCTCGAGTTGAGGCAGGCTTCGACCTGTGTGAGAACGGTAGTTAATTCTTCGAATGTGAGCGTGCGCTCCCCGATTACCCGTTTCAAGTGAAACTTCGTTGATTTTACGCCAGCTTCCCACAGTCCCCCGACATGGTGGGAAGCTGGGGGGATGAAGATTCAGTGTGTTCCCTCGTTGACCAAATGTTTCGCGTGATCCGTCCAATATTTGTTCGATACTGTGAACATCGATCGAAGTTTGGCATCGGCTCCTTTGAAATTTGTCCCGTTGTCACTGAGGAGCTCGGAATAGATGCCTCGTCGGGATGTAAACCTCTTGAAGGCTGCGATGAATGCCTGGGAAGTGTAATCGCTGACCACCTCGATATGAATGGCCTTGGTGACCAGTCAAATGAATAGGGCAATGTAACCCTTGTATGTTTTTTGCCCGCGCCCTTTGGCGAGCCTCAGGTTGATTGGGCCTGCGTAGTCGACTCCAGCTCGAAGAAATGGCCTTGCCTGGGACGACACGAGATTTGGCCAGATCACCCGTGAGTTGTGTGCTGGGTTGGGCCCTTGCACGGAAGCAGGTGATGCATCCGTGTAGGTGATGTCTGACTGCGCTGCGACCGCCGATAATCCAGTACGTCCTGAGGAGATGGCTGAGGGTTAACTAAATTCCTCCGTGGAGTATACCCGAATGAGCCTCGGAGATTAGTAGTGAGATCAGCGGCGATTTTTTCGGTATAATCACTGGATGCTGCTCTTCATATACGAGCGGTGCGTTGCGTAGGTGTCCTCCGACGCGCAAGGTCCCAGTTGCATCGAGAAATGGGTGAAGAGTCAGCAGCGAACTGCGGCGAGGCAGGGATTGTCCCTGCTGAAGAGCCTAGATTAGGCAAACTTACAATTAGTCCATGACCCTATGATTAGAAGTAGTTAGGTGAAAACGAACATATTCAGGCTGATCAACATCCCAATAACGATTAGGATTATCTCAACCCGAACTCCAAAAAAAAAAAAAAAAACTCGTCTTTACCTACAACTGCATCTGCTACTCCCTTAACGCATAAGAAATAGCACAGGATACGAACTAGAGCGCGGAAAGGATAAACCAGGCTCTAGGTACTACATTGCGGGGCTGACCATGGCTCGGCGCAGCACACTTTGAAGGTGTCCCCCTCTGGGAGGCGGAGTGTCGGATCCTAGTCGGTGAAATAGGGGCGAACCTCTCAATGCTAGCCGTTTTCAAGGCCATGGTCGGGGCGTCAGAGTGTGGCAGCGACCGTCTTCGGCGAAGCGGTTGTGCTCAGAAATAGGCAACCGAAAGGGAGCGGGAACGGGCGGACCTCACCCGAAAGCAAGGGAGCGGACGCGAGCATCAGGGCAGAAGGGGGCTAGCCTCCCCTCTCAGACTCCCCAATCCCTTGCGACCTGCGCCCCACCGCCCAATCAAGGACGCGCACGCGAGGAAGCGCATCCACGTGCGGGGTGCTGCTGCGTCCGGTCTTCGCCGAGCGCCTGGCGCCGCCCAGGCCGGCGTGGCAATAGGCCCTTACCCAGCGTACGTTGACCCAAAAGTGAAGCGTCCCAGGCATCCCCTTCCCCTTTTCCTCCGCCCTTCGCTAAGGGTGATGGAAAGGACTGGCTGGCGGAGTCCGGGACGCGGGGGGCTGCAGGGTCCCTAGGATGGGGACCGAGGGACCCATTGCACGCAGCCCCCCACCACCACGAGCGGGGGCCGAGGGAAGGGTAGCCGCGCCCCTCGGTCGGTAGCCGGCGTTACGAGGGGGAAAGGTTGATGAGGTTCTTCCGTCTCTCCCTTAACCAGGGATAGGTCCCGGAGGTCGGGTTGAGGTGCGGGCGGACCACGGTTGCCGGAAACCCTATCCCGTGGTCCCCTCCGACGCGTCGATGGTGGCAACCGTGGGGTTCTTATTGGGTACGAGTTCTCCATTATCCCCCCCCCCCGGGGGGGGCGGGAGGGTTTAGGCATTATCCCCCCCCCCCCAAAAAAAAAAAACAATGCTCTAGGTACAAACGTCCTTCTCCTAATAAAAAGGGATTCAACGATTTATACATGCAACCAATAATCCACGGTTCCAATCCTTTCGACTCAATAATGATTAAATACGGCGCACCGTTGATGGAATTAGCCGTTCTAGCTGAGAGTCATTTTCCATCCTTTCTTTTCCTATCAGTCGTACTATAATTTACGTAAATGCTAACTCAATTAGGATTGTACTTAATTGAATTAAAGAAACCTAAAATTGCGTAATACTTCGGGAATATTAAATAGCAGTATTCATACGAGACGGTCCGACGTCGGAACACCTCATCGCAGAAAAAACCGATACCTTGAACTGGTATTCGGTTGACAGGCCTCCCGAAAAACGCAATATTGAATGGCTACAGCTGTTAGATCGCATAACGACCGTCACACTCATTCGTCAGTCTCGGAATTCTTTAAAAAATTAAACTAAATTAAACCGAGTTCTCAGGAATCATGAGGCTCGAACCCACAAAGGCTGCATTCATTCCGTTCCATAGGCTTGGGATAAATCCAGACCACCATAGGAGAGAATAATTTAAATGACTCATTGCGGGTAAGGAAGTCGATCGTTGTTTTCTAGTGATCTTGATTTTCTTGAAAGACTGCAAATACAGATAGAGGCATTTCAAGTTAGACAAGGCTGATCATTTTTAGACAAAACGCAAGTTTGAGGTATCATACGAAATGCTACCAGCATTATGGTCCAGACATTTTCCGAGACCATTGGTGTGTTTGGTTGATTTTAACGTAGTCGATGCTTGTGCATTTTGTTATATAAGCAAGGTATCGTATAAAAGTTGACGACGCGGCAAGGACAATTCGTGGAAATCGAAAGACGTCCAGGGGATTAGTTTGAATTCTCCTCGCCGTAGCGGTCTTGCTCTCGTTGCTGATTCTGGATTTGGTCTTGACATTTATTAAAGTGCTTGGAACAAAACGGGTAGAGAACGGGATGATCGCAGGTCCTACACGCAGCAGCCAAGTGAGAACAGCATCCGGCTCGTTCTTTGCAGCAGAGGGCCCAATACTCAGGTCCAGCTGTTGCGCAGTTATGACAGTAACAGTCGCCTGAAAGTGAAACAAAGGAGGACATTTAAATAATGCAATATTTTCACAAACGGTGTGTTAAGTTAACATGGAACATGTCAGGAAATTTAATCGACGCCGGTGAAACTGTTTCTTCTAAGTGATATGCAATTCGAAACAGTTATCGATACTTATATTTAATTAACATGTTAATCGTAATCAATTAACTTCTACGGAATGACATACTTCAAATGTCGTTTCCGCAGAATGATGATAAAGAAATCAAAATAAAACTCAATAAACCTCCTGAATTCAGGGAAGCTCACGCGCGAGCCGGCACCCCATCCCGGGAGCGCGCCGGCCGAGGATCCCTACCGGGGAAACAGAAGACGCTTAATTGGGTCAACCTGGCGGGAACTGGGCCAATGAGACCCCGAGGATGTCACCGGGCCTAGAGAAGGGGGACCCGAATAAAACGGGCCGCCGGACGCGGCCCGCTCTTCTTGGTCCGCAAAAATTGGGCCACGACGTTTGGCCTCTCACCGCAGCTCCCCCTCTGCTACCCCTCGCCGCCGCCGCCACACCGGAGCACCGCCAGTTGAGCTGGGGCCGGTAAGCCGGAAGGGCTTCAAGGTAACCGAGGCCCGGTCCCACACCGCGGGTAATCCCCCCCCATAGAAGTTGCGCGAGTTTCGAGTTAATTCTTCGGGTTCTCCTTTTGAAGGGCCCGTTAATCGCACGGGGCGACTAACGGCCTCGCCAGGTCGCGGTCGCGCGGGGCGACCGCCCGGGCAAAAGTTCGGGAAGATAGGGCCACGCGGGGTGGACCCTTTCCCCATCGCATCCCTTTCGTCGTCTGGGTTTCCGCCGGTTCGAGGGCCATCGAGAGCCGACCGCCGAGAGCACGCGTACGGGGAGGACGAGGAGCGGGTGTGAGGACTGGGGAAACCGGAACCTTCCTCGAAACTTGGCCTCATTTGGCCGACCGCGCGACGAGTCCTTCCGGGAGTAGTTCTTTTTCAGTCTAAATTTAATAAATGAAAACGAAATCTCCCTTTTGTGGCCCGGATCGTGTGATCCGGAATCCGCACTTCCCTTGCGAGCTCCTTCCCGAGTCTCCAGTTCGATATGAAAATTCTAGTCTCGAGTTCGCGAAGCCGCGGACCAAGAAGCCACGAGGCGGCCAGAGGGCCGTCCGTGTCACGCGGTGCCGCAAGCACCTTTAATTTTCATTGTCCCTCGGGGCCGAACGGCCCGTTTCCGCATCGCGTAGCGCGGAGCGAGCGCCGCCTTATATGCGAAATATTACTTTTTACGGAAATATACTCATGAAGTAGTAAATGAGCGCATAGCAGTAATGAATCATTCTTCCTAAACACATATAGTATGTTACTTTGAAAACAAAATATATCTAAAAATGAAAAAAATATTTGGCGAGCCTCATCGATTATACGTTTTGTACATTTAAGCAATCGTACCGAAGTCGGGATTTTTCAGAGAATTAAATATTACTATGAGGCTGGCCAAATATTTTTTTTATTTTTAAGATATATTTTGTTTTTAATGTAACATACTATGTGTTTAGGAAGAATGATTCATTGCTGCTATGCCCTCCATTATTACTTCATGGGTATATTTTCGTAAAATTTAATATTTCGCACATAACACCCAATGCATGTATTTGGCAAAAGTAACTGATTTCATTGTTTTTGTGCGATTAATTGCCAGTAGATATGACTCGTTATGGATATGACTTTGCAAATTATACTCTTTCAATTGGATGGACGTATTTGGCGCAAGTTTTTTTACATTCCATTTACGCCTCGATGGTCACCGGCAGGGGACAAGCAAAAACGTGTGTTATATGTTATATTTGTATGATTCCTACAATAATTCAATTTGGTATTCCATTGTGCTTGTTAATATAATATAATCGAAATGACATAAACGGAGAGTCTACCAGAGTATGCATGGAGGTAACTGTGTTAAATATTTCAAATATCTAAAGTATATTGAAATATTCAGGGAATGTTCCTACACTGTTAAAAAGATATGTAATTTAATGTCATTTTTGTTGGAAGTTTTATTCAGACATTGTATACTAATTTTATATCATATTTTCCAATGAATCAACCAATGTATCACAAGGTATAAGTTTAGTACATATGTGTAATAAATTTGACATTTGTACGTTTTTAGAGAAACTCTGTCTTGAAGGCCGAAAAAATCATCTTGCAATTATCTGGGTACCGAACTTCGAACTCACGGGCAAGTAGTAGTTACGTTGTCCATGATGCTACTGAAGTCTTGATCCACTGAATATAAGAGTTTCTTTTAATATTATTAAACATTTCTCTGATTCAAGGGGGCAGCTACGATGCTTGTCCGCCAATATTTCTTATCTTTACATTAAATTTGTTTAAAAATAAACTTATGTTAACGATCATTAAATTAAAAACCCGTCTAAAATATGTACTGAATGACTTTTGAATATCAAATTTATAAATTTTCTACGCGATTCTATAAAATTACAACATGATGTTATAAAATTATAAATTTATTAAGAATCTTAGTAATTCACTATTGACACATCGAATTAATAATTTTACTATAACCTTATGTATTAAAAGTGTATGAATTTTTTTTAACAGTGTAGGCACAATGGTGTTATCTGGAAGAGCAATATGAGATCGCCGTCAAATTGCAAGATGAATTACCGCGAGGACAATCGACGGATCTTCGGGCTTCGGCTCTTCTGCAGTCGAGACCCTCGTCACCATCAGGACAAGATGTTACACTTCCTTCGATCGAGTTCTCGCCAAATATCCTATCGGTCTGTAAAGCAACAAAATTATCTTATTCACTAGAGTCAACCAAGTTCGCACGTTGTGAATGATTTTCCGTACGGAGAGTACCGATATTTAGAATTCTCAACTCACACTGAAAATGTAGATTGCTAATATCTCGACCTCGGTTTCGATTCTCACTTGCCAACAAGTAAATTTAAGTCGTTATATGACACTTGACGCAGTTACAGTGCTTATTGTGCACTAAAATATATACCGGACAATTTAATTTGTTACATTCGCGGTACAAAGGTAAAGAGATTTTACATTAAACAATCTTCCACAAAATAATAAATAAACTTCTGTTTTAGGTACGAGAATACTTGAGAAATGGCGAAGGAGAATCTGTAAACTTTATTATTGAGCCCCTTCTTACACTGAGTGAAAGAGTCACTTTCTATAAAAAAACAAAAGAAAAAAAGTTCTCATAACCAGAAGATTCTTTTCACGCAATTATCAACAACAAAAAGGTATACGGTTTATTGAATTAAATTAATACAAATTTCAAACGGTATTCAATTTCCTTGAGCTAAGCTTCACTAAGTTTCCATGATTAATTATTGTTACATTTTGTGTTCATTAACATCTTAAAATAAAAAATTGATTCACTTGAAAAATTGAAAAACATTGGAAGAATTAATAATATACTTGTACTGAAGTAGAATTTGATAACGCTAAATCTTGTGTTTTCTTTTTTTCACGATCCTGTCACTTACCGATGAACTCATTCTTGTCCAATTTGGAACAATGTTCGTTGTGAATAATGCTTTAGATAATGTATTGAGTTGCTTGAGTAAAGATGTGAAAGGCGTCGCGAAATGTAATCAACGTTGGCAAAACAGAATTTTGAGATACCATTTAACTAATAGACTATCTGAAACTGCGTGTCACGCTACTGAAATTTATAACATATCTTGTTATTCGTTGTACTCTTTATTCCGAATTATACTCCATACGTCATTTTAAGAGAATGATTACGAAGAAATCAAAGTGAAACTTCAGCAATCCTCTGAAATCATGGTCCCTTGAATTAACGTGTTAAAATAATCAATTTCAAGCAATTATATATTTTTTTTTTAATGCACAGTAGGTGTATAAACTGAAAAAATCTTAAATATTGCACTATATTTATTAAGAAAAATCATGATTCGGACATTTCCACAAAATTCTCTTAGCATTCAATAGAACCTTCCTTGGAATAGATTATCGTTCGAATTCTTTTCGGCACATTTTGGGGGCGTTTTTGCCAATAATTTTTAATTCTTGGTTCTAACGCCAAACTCTGTTACGTCTATAAAGACGCGTATCCCACTGTTATGTGTTTATTGGGTTATTGGCACGTGCTTCCTGCATTTACGTACCCGTTTGAACGCTCCCGGCTTAGAGAACATCCTGACGAGTTTTTCAAGCGAGCTCTCGATTTGTGTCGGCTCTGCGGTATAGTTTCCCGTGCATTGGGACCTGCTTAGAACGACTGCCGAGAGCAAGAGACAGAGGAGCCACGAATAATTCATTTCACCGATGTCACACGGGTACCGGAAGATGATCGAGGTCGGACTCCGTCACTGTGTCGAGCGACGTGCTCGATCGCGCACTGCGAGTGTAACTGCCAGGTGTCAGAAAAGCACGTACCAGCTTCGGGATAGGTCGCGATCAGTTCGTTCATCGGCGGGGCAGACGTCTCATGCTGAACGGAAAGGCGAAAAAGTAGACTGCTTCACGTTTGCACAAGTTTCCTCAGCGCGTTGTATCGAAGTTAATCGTTACAAACCGAACAATGTTAAAGATATTTTTTAAAATTACCGCAGTTCTAGTAAAATTATCAATTTTATATCCTAAAAGTGAATGTGTATATTCTTTTTCTACATTTTTATTATACTTTTCATTATACAGGGCGGGTCTTTTCATTTGAGACACTATCGTATATAGTGAACTTGGAAGAGGGAAATTCGGTAGAATTTCGCGCCAGATATTCACTTGCATACGTTTATTTTAGAGAATAAAGTATCAAATAAAGGTTTCTTCATTTCGAGGAGGAAATATAATGGTAATATCTATTGCTTATTTAATATTCAATTTTAAGGCCATTTCAGAGTCAACTTGATTTGTTTTTAAATGCCCTAAATTGAAAGCCCTATTTTTTGTATGGCGGAATTGCATTGTATGAGGAAAAAGAAGTAACTTTTATTCGAAACATTTTCTGTACAGCTTCAATTGTGCCATATAATAACGGAAATAATTTCAAAACATTCCGTTATGAGTTAGGGGAGAGCGGGGCAAGTTGTCCTTCGGGGTAAATTAACCAATGTTTAATAACTTTTCTACTTTTAACTTAATAACATTCTTGATTTTATGATACATTCCTAATTCTATCCCATACTTCTGTTGGTATTTAATATAATTGTCTGTAACGTTGTTTATGTTTTAAAAAATAAAACATTAAATTTTTAATATTAAGTAAATTCATTCAATTCCCTTTTTCTTCTTTTTTAGTTAAGTGTATTACTTTCTGTCTTTTTTAAATTGAAATATAAAAAATCTATTAGCTTTGTGCAACTGTGTATACTTATTTTAATAAAATAATGTATCATTTGTCAATATGCCTTCGATTGTTAAAGCGATGTTCGGGGCACATGGATTTACGAAAAATGGGGCGAGTTTACTGACAAGCTCTTGGAGTCGCGCTGGCTGATAGTTGCTCTGAAATTTTCTGTGTCAAATATTTTGAATAATTATTCATTAACTTATTTGAAGTAATGCGCCAAACTATAATCGGTGCGCTTTATATTACTCTGGAATTTTGTTTCATTGATTGTTTGATCCGTCCGTTTCTTTTATAAATAATCTTAACTTAACCACTCTTTCGTGACAATCTTGAACGATTCTTAGTCTTTTTGTGATTATCCATCAACTACAACGCAAAAAATCATGTTTAAGCAATTTTTCAAAACACACTTTTACTTTGCTTAAACAAATTATGAAATAATCTAAAAAGATTAATTGTTACGCATTTATATGCATATTTCGTTACTGCCAGTGATAAAAACTTTTTTTTTTAATTACTGCAATTTATTATTTTGAACTGGGTGCGAACGGTGTGTGGATTCTATGCCATGTCAATTCACACCAACCAATATGTCTATTTGCCACTTAACGCGGGACAAGTTGACCAACCGTGCAGCCGTGAATAAATACCTTTTTCTTTAATTTTTGGCTATAGATTAAAGAATGTTGGACAGCAGTTATTGTACCTGAATATACGCCCTGTACCTCGACGTATAATATATTCGAAAATTCTCATTATTTCACTTAAAATGGCACATTATATAAAAATTTGGACTCTCTGCCCCGGTCTTCCCAATCTTGTTCATTTTGTTATTTTAGTCAGCTTTTGTGTCGGTTGAGAAAAATCACCATAATTACAAAAAATTAATCGCCCTTTTCAATTAAATAAATATTCAAAATGGTTACCTCCAAGTTCAATGCTTTTGTTAAAACGCGTTATAAAAAAACCATGGCATTGTATTATCGTTGGTTCATTGATTTTTTTTCCGCGTTTCATTAATACTGATACGTAGCAGAATTCGGTCATTCACAAGTTAAGAGTATGTGAAAGGCAATAAGCAATCCCGTCACGACCCCTGGGTCTTCGGTGCTGAGGAAAGGGCCTTAACAGTTTCAACGCTATCTACACGCACTACGGGCACTGAGACGTGCTGTCGGTAACACCGCCACGCTAATATGGTAATGTGTTACCCTAGACTTTACCGATAGTATAATCGATAAATTCTTACGTGTCTTAGAAGCCCATTGGGATAGGCCGAGGAGTGCTTGACGGGACCTCAACTTTGAAAAGTTTGAGAGTTACTCCGCCATACACCAGCTAGCACCACTGTCGCCTATTATGTCTATCTCTCTAGCACTCACACCTCCTATACCTGTCATTCTCTTGTGCGTGGGTTGGGGTAGTAATGCGCTCTCCTTTTCTCCATCAAAGAAAACCGGAGGCTACGCTCTATTGTCTATCGCACTCAACGAGGACAGAATACGGGAATTCGACACCCCGTAAAAATTCGGCACCAATTTTCATTCCGTTCAGTCCCGTTGCAATAATTTTCGTACCGAATGAAGAATTGGAACCTTTGTACGTATAACGGTTTTATCCGGTCAAAGGCTTTACATGGTCTTTTCCTAATCTCTACGTTTGGACCGTCTACCTGCCTCACTTTTCATTATCCGAAGGTTCTGTCTCTCGCCGAGAACTTTTAACCCACCCGTCTCCTGACCTCCCTCATCCGTGTTTCTGTAAAACTCATTTTTGTAGATACTGGCACAACCAAGCGTCGCGGATAGAAATTGCTGTGTATACCACGCATTTTAATCAAACAATGGGCTTCTAGGAGACGTCGGAATTCATCGGTACTCGGTAGCGTCTCGCTTGGGCCTCATCATTCGACATTACAAGTTTCTTGATAAGAAGCTTACATTTTATAACTATCATCTTGTAAATGAAATTATTCTTATAATTTTCTATTATGCTATGAACCAATGTGGAAACGCATCTCTACTTAATCAAGAAAATCATTCAATACATTTACTGCAGCATCAACTAATGATTATCCTAAACATTCATACAAATTTTTTTAAGAATATTCCTAATATGTTCTGATTTATAAACGTATATACACATAATTCGTCAAATATCCAGAGTAGGTATTTTAAACAATTTAAAAAGTGTTCATAGGTACAATGGTGGTATCTGAGTACAGTCGCAAATACAATTATCGGTTTTCCCAAAATATAATTAAGTACATAGAACACTAAAAAGCGTCGCACTTTCGTTATTAAAGTGATTACAAACGTACCAAAATGACTGAAAAATACTTGATATCGTGCAAAGCGGCATATGCTTCTGTACACTGTACTCTGTTCATGTGCCTGCCGTCGCGCTTCGTTGCTATTCGCATAACGTTAATGAGCACTCGTAACCGCATCGATCCCTGCATGTTTCCGACTGTGCTGACCTTGTCGACACTTCTCTCTTGCATAACATATCTAAAGAAAAACAGAAATGAATCAGAATCAAAGGTAGTTTCAGGGACAAATAATCTAGTACTTCAATTACGTTAGTATGAAACGGTGTTGTTGCAAATACGAAGTTCTAAGTGATTCTAACGGATACAAAGATTAAATGTGACGATGTAAATAAAACACTATATATCAAGCGATTACCTCGCTATTGCCTCATTCGGAAGTGATTTTATACACGCCGGACGATGTTTAAGGTGAAGTGCTATCTTCCGAGAAACTTCAGAGCTGTCAGTAGAAACCAATTCTGCTAACTATCCACACGACATACTCGCGTATAATATATATTATGTTAATACGGCTACTACACGTACATGTAATTATTATACGAAAAATATACACATCGATTTCGCAAATTGAATGTGCGTACATGTCCGTACACCGGAAAACTAAATTTTTCGTATTATATCCATATATGTTTGAATAATAAATCTCGGCAACAGTATGGAAGTATTTTTATGTATAGTATAGTTGTATAGGTGTATACGTAACATATGCGTGTATGTTTTTTTTAACCCTTTGCACTCCGCGCCATCCCATTTAGACTTAAAGTGTCCCCTCAGAGGGGACATCGGAGTGCAAAGGGTTAAAGCATGTACGTTTATCGGAGAGTTAATTTAAACGTATCAGTTACGAAGTCTTTTGAGTTAGAAATCAACACAAATTTCACATCCGACGGTGTCAATTCAACGTTCAACGTACGTGTGAAATTAAGATAAATGCGAATAGAGGTACCCACATTTATAAAGTATGTACTGTGACGTATATCCCGCCCGAGGGATATCCGTGTTCACAAAAGGGCCCTATGTCCCAAGGTTCTCTACCTTCGCCCTGGCTCGCACCCACACCTGAGCACGAACAAATTAATTAGAATACCGGTTGGGCGCCAGGTGTCCCAGGATGCCTAACCTTAAGGGCCCTTTGGCCTCCCTTTCCTAAGGGCTGACACTCTCTCCACGAGAGTGAAGCCGGAAGGCGAGGGCGAAGGGTTATTCCCGGCTTCTCCGAGGGGCGTTCCCGGAGAAGACTGCCGAAATGTTGCCTTGGCTGAAAAAGGGTCTCGCGGGATTAATTCGGAGCGGGAAAAACGCGATACGAACGTGTCGCTGAAATTTAAATGATTGTAGGAAATTATAGGTTAGGAACAGTGACTTTAACGTAAGAAATCAAATGGCTATCGACAATATCGCAGGAATAATAATGATAAAAAATAGAGGTTAAAAGGTGAGGAATAGAATGGAAGGTAAGGTAACATAGGATGAAGGGACGCCCGCGGACTACCCGGAAAGAAGGCTGGAGTTGATTGGAATTGAAAATTTTGGAAAATTCTGAATTCCCCTGTTTCCCCCGAGCCTATTATCAATTCCTAAAGTTTGTTGAGTCTCCCCTCCCTGTTTCCCCGCGTCTTGATCTTACCCTCGCCCTCTCCGAACCTTGGCGCGTACGCACTTTGAGCTAGTCGGCCGCGCCGCGACGATCGTCAAGGCGGAAATCGTTCGCTCGAGACTTGGCCGAGATTGATGCGGAAGGGCGGATTGCGCTGCGTCGGCCCTGCAACGGGTTACCCGGGTTACCCGGGGAAACACGCGAAACAAAATCTACTAAATGTTCTAACAAAACTACTCCATTTGGGAACAATCGTACGCTCAAACCTCGGTTCAGCGAATGCGGCGGTGCTCCCTTGATGGAAACCCATCCGATGCAGTGATCCTCCCAGGAACCGGCAGCCGTGAGAACTCTCGGGCCGCGTAACGTCAGCGAGCTGCTTCAGGGGCGTAGCTCCCCAAGGATCCCGTGGCACCTGTTCAGGGCTCCCTAGAGCCAAAATTCTCCTCTTGATGTACCCCGAGAGGGCCAGCATCCTCCGATGTGGCTCTTCCAGGGTGAGGGGACCGGTAGGCCCTTCCGTTCTGGGGCCACCGCAACCTTGCCTCGGCGCAGGAGGGCGACGCAAATGGGACTCCCCCTCTCGCCGTCCTTATAGGGACTCCCTGGAGTCAAAGGACATGGGGGGGTCTACGGCCTCCGGAAATGCGCCCTCCTCCCGCAATCGGTGAAGGGCCGGAAAATCGGATGCGGCCGCGGTGACCCAGCGGCGCCGCCATGGATCGGGTTCTTCCGTAAAGCGTGAGGGCCGCGGCTGGCTCGGCCCGGCCCTACTCCGCGCAGCCCACGCACTCCCGACGACGGCGGGACGAGGCTCCATTGCCACCGTCCTTGATGCTCGATGTCCCTTGAGGCGCCTTTGTTCCTCGATGGGTGTCCTCGTGATGATTCTCGGCGGTGCCCGCACTCGCCGCACCTTGAGGACGCCCTAACTTATTGACTATGCGACTTAGACGATACAAAAAATTATGAACAGCGTACTTAAGTTTAAGCCTCCTCGGCTTCTCGGCCTCGAGCGTCGAACGTGCTGGAATAGAAGAGTGGGTGGAACAAAATTACTCGTCATACCATCCCGTTGCCTCCAGCCATCATTTCATGCCTGTTAAGGAAATAAAGATAACAAATCCAAACTGACCCCAAAAATTGCTACAGAATATACTGGCGCACCTAAATGTTCGTTTCACAGACATGCAAGTCTGTTTTCCTCAACGACATATGTTACCGACAGGACAATTTTCGCCCACCGATTGCGGGTTTGCCCAGAAAACCACAAAAACGTGAGGACTGCCCAACAGCCCGCACCTCGGGTAAAGTTGTTACTTATCTGAAGTATTAATCGGGATTGTCGGGAAAAAAAGGGATATGTGGCGAGGAACGAAGATAATCAGTCGACTTATGCCGAGTGAGTCGCAGCGCTTCATTCGAGTAGTGCGGTACGGTGGTAACGAGTCGTTCGTGTGTGTGGAACAATCGTGCGGGGGAAGCATATGTGCGAGAAGGAGTGAAGTACGTGCTATCGAAGAAGCATGAAGACCGACAAGCAACAGTGGGAGCTACGTGGCTGGAGCGGCCGCCTTTGATCAGATGAAGAGCGGATCACGGAGACTGGCCTCAAGCAGGACTGCGGAGGTCAATGAAAAGAAGCACGAAACCCTGCAGAACCCGGTGAGATAACTCGTCCCAAGGGTTATCGAATTCAGGGAGTGTGAGATGTCGTGCGGGTCCGGCAGGGGTGGTTTGGTCATCCGTGCTCGATACCGTCTGTCCCCTGCGGACTAGCCGGCGGACCAGGAGGCTGTAGGAGTGCGTGTGTACTCAGGCTCGGCGGTATGCGGCGTGATATGCGTCGGGCTGAGCCCGTCGCTCTCATTTGTCCACGTACGAGACTGGGGAATGCGGGACCCCGCCGTCGGGTCTCTCTCCCGGTCGGATAGCAACATGGTCCATGTGCCATAACTGTAACTCGATGGCAAGAGCTTTCCTAAGTGCCGTAGGAACGATCATTCAATGGCAAGAGCAACCCCCATGTGCAGTAACTGTAGCTCGATAGCAAGAGCAACCCCCATGTGCCGTAACTGTAGTTTGATGGCAAGAGCACCAAAAAAGTGAAGAACTCACGTTAGCGCGGCGCGTTGCTGCGTAATGCGGGACCGAAATAAAACCCTACGAATTATGATGTAATTTTTTGCATGACCCCACAATGGATTGTTGGATGCGGAGCCCAGGTAGCGAACCCGGCCCCCGGAGGGGGGAGGTGTTATGATGTGCCTGGCCGCTTAGGGGGCGCCTAGCGCCGTAACCTAGCGGTGACCTGGTCTGACACTTTACAACATACTCTTGAAAATGATTATTTGGAATGTACATTCAGAGTTGAACTTCAATCTGCACTGCGTGTTCGTTGTTCTAAATCATGCACAAGGTACAATTCAGTCGTTATTCTTATGTAACTTGGTGAGTTCGATGTGACATAATGTTCCTTATATCATGTGCGAAATAAATGTTAAATTACGCAATTAGACGTCATTATAGTGAAATTATATTAACACATTGACAGCCGGCGACCTAAGAGACATTTGAAGCCTGAGCGCCGGCAATGTAGCGACAGACTCATTGTCAGAAAACCCGCGTTTTCGCGGGGCCGGCTGTCAATGTGTTAACCGGCATATAGAAAAGTCGAATAAGTATCAAATTTATTTAATCGCGAACACATACTGAATAAAATGAGAATAGACGAGGATGATTTTGATTCACACTGTTGTTATGATTACAACTTAGTTGCTTCCGTAAAATCTATAATTAATATTTCTTCTGTTGTAATTGCTTCATACTCACGGTAAAAATAATGCTTTGGCTGCCGAGGTTAGTGTGATCCGTAAATACATTATTATTATTATTAATATACAATGTTTATATAAATGTTTATCTTTTGTATTACTGATAGCGTTTTTGCATAATTTTTCGGGCGGCTGGAAGATGACAACCAGAAACATTATGCAACAATTCTGAATAATCATCTTCTAATCTTATTTTGAGTTTCTCCGTCGCTTCAGCACGAGTAAGTGGGGCATCCAGACCTTCAGAGACATTTTGCATTTCTTCTTTCTCCACGCACCTGTTGAAATTTTATACAAAATTAAATCTAAAAAGTCGTACATCTTTAAACTATGGGTAATTGGTGATATATTTTGAATAAACTTGGGAATATATTATTTTAGGAATAGAATTTCTTTAGGGAAATACGTAGGAGCATTGTTTGAATAATAGTCTTGCACTAAATTGAAAAATAAGATTGCACTTTAAAAAATGTAAAAACTTAATATAATCATAAATGAGTATTCAGTAGGTAACCCACACGGAACAAGTACATATGGTATACCTATGTAAGATATCCAGCATAAACAGCAAAGTGGCAATGTATGTGTAACAGATGTATACAACAGTATACGGAATGTGCTGGGGCATGCACATTGCATGTCACGTGGCAGAATTCTGCCCGTCACAAGTAAACGCGGGACGGTGGTGGTGAGTGCAATTTGGTTCATTTTTCTGACATTTTTAACTGACTGGCGGTTACGAGGGTTAATCCCGGCAATGAAATTGGTTAATTTTTCGGTATTTTGTGCAGTTAATTATAAGTGGCGTTCCAGTCATTATGTCATGTTTGTGTCTTTGGTCTGGCTATTAGTAGGTTCATGTAACGAGGATGAATTACGTATCAGTGCTCGCATCTACTGGTTGACTTAGGTGGGCTTGTTGAATAATTGTATTTTCGCGGCCCTTTTGTTTTAAAGTATCGCGTTGCTGCCTCTCTCCTCGGTTGGCCAGGTTGCCGTGTCGACCCGAATTCAAGGATGCTGTTTTGACGCGTAAAATTCCCGCTTTCGCAACGTGCGAATTTCACTTAATTTCATTCCTTTTTTTCGCGAAGTGCGAATCTCATTTAATCAAATTTCTTTTCGCGATATGCGAACATTTTCAGTAAATTCTTGTCGCGAAGTGCGAATCCTTTTGCAGCTCCCCATTTTTCGGGCTGTCTCGAGCACGAATCAAATACGAACTCGCGATGTAGAAATGCTGCCTTAAGAGGCCCAATGTGAAGATCTTTTTTGTAATTACTAATTGGTCTACTTGCTGTGAAATTCTTATTTAACCGTGCCTGCCTTCGATTTAACAGTTCCAATTATAAATCGTCAAAACTGAATATTCCCGATTCAACCACTTGTCGAATTTTAGTTTTCTCGATCCGATCAAATATAGTCAGATTTTAATCATTTTCGAACGAATATAAAGTATGAAAATTTAATGTGTCCTAAACTTTGCGTATATCGCGTAACTAATTTGCGCCGATCCGTTAGAAATTGCTGCCTTGGTTCTTGCATTTTCCGATTTTATATTTTACTGTCTTGAAGGAACCGACACCCCTAATTCGTTTTGCTTGCGTAATTTATAAACCGGCAGCCCGTTCGCTCTAATTTAACCTAATTAACTAATTTTCTTCGCAAATTTCGTTCATCCGTAATGGTCCTCCTCCCCCCGATGGGATTTCGTATCGTGTAGTATTGGCTTGTGTCATTTTTATAATATAGCTCTATAAAAGAATTGGCAGGGAACTTGTCTATTTAAGCACCCAATTACTTACAGTGCACAGGGTTGAGTAGGAGCAACTTGGGATAGGACAGGAATTTTTAATGTGGGTTTTTTGCTTTCATCTAATCGGGTTTCTTTTTTGGACGTTTTATCTACCCAATGGACCTTGTTAAACATATCCGTGATTCTCTTCTCAATGATCCCCAGGTAAAGCATCACATTGTTTATGGTGACGCGAGAATTGTCACCTAGGAGGTCCAGGATGGGCGAATTGTCGCAACGTATGTTTCGGAAGAATGTATCGATACCACGAAGAAGCTTTTCAATGACGTCGTTGCACTAGAAAGAAAAGAATGCGTTAGTAAATACATCTGTAAAACATAGGTTGAAAAGCAAAAGGATTGACAGCACTAAAATTAATATGTGGAAGGATATGATTATTTTATTTAAACATGAATTGGTAAAGAAATGTCCATATTTTGGAATAGGACGATTTGGTAATATTTTGAAGAAAATCATATTTGTTCGTGAATGCGTGAAATTTCATTTCAAGTAATACATTTCATTTTGGCCGTTATCGTGTCCATTATACTATTTTATTTAATGTCTTGCATTACTTGTTAAATAATTTAATTAAGGAAATTAAAGTTTTACAGAGGCAAATTTTTACAGGCAACACTAGAAATCCATGGGGGAAATATTGTAATTTCATTACATTTTCAGATAGCATTGTACAGAATCTTAGATGCCAGGAAACATTTGTTTTCTATCTGTTTGGAAAATTCATGCTACCATATTGTACATTATGCATAAATAAATTACATATATGTTTTTCGTGCATGTTAAGTATAAGAGACGTTTCAAAAACTATACCCTAAAAACCAAATAATAGTTCTTCTGCATTGAGAGAAAACGATCGCTTAGAAAATATTATTTACGAATTGCAGTGAATGATTTGGCAACTGTTTATTATAAAATATTTCCTACTGCACAAGGCTGTCCCGGCATTACCGCGTCTTCCGGTCTCCCGTGCGACCGTTCGCGTCCGCGGTTAGGAAGAGATCTCCACATCCCTAGCGAGACACAACGTCTCCACAACTCTTTGACTGTTACCGTACGCTAGTCATTGTTACAACTCGTTATTGTTTAATAAAACTTTGTTTCGCATCCACCCCTATATCGCCGTTCCTCCGTGAAGTATACGAACTAACACCGACCTTCATTTTTATATTGACAGCTGGGTCGAATTATATTGGGTAATGTACCAAATGGCGTACATCATCTGACGTTTTCGTACAATAATTATACAGAAATCGAAGTAAAACTCCAGAAATCCTCTGGATTCGTGCTTTCTGGGGCCCTAATTGACTGCAGAGGGACCCCCTGCGCCATCTGTGATTTCCAGGTCAATTTAAAATTTGATTCCGAGACCTCGTATTCCCATCGTTTTAGTATAGATCCGCATACAACACTCTTTTGCCTTTATCCCGTTCAAATGCGAGTTTATCGATTACCAGAGTGTTCTAAATTGTCGTAAAATTGCCCTGACCCTTTCGATTCTCATCCTATCCTCAGATCCTTCGATAATTGTATATTGATCGAAATATGAGAGCTCGACGCCATTTTGGTTCTGGTCTGGGCTGATGTAAAACATTTTTTCGAAAAATCCAAATTTTGATTGTGTCAGGACAATTATTAGATGATCAGGAATGGTGTGGCAAAGTTTCGGACGGTTTGGTCCAATAAAAGGTCCCTTAAAAAAAGTGTTGTATTCGAATCGACTGATTTGAAGGAGGTTTCACTTCACCTTAATCGCCAGTATTTATAAAGATAAACACATAAAATCATGTCAACCTCATTAAGATGTTGCTCAGCAACAGTTGCAAGTTCAGTTTGCTCCTGAAGTTGTTTCCCTATCCTTTCCAATGTTTCTGCTTGATGCTGTCCACGATGAATATTTAAAGCACGCGCTTCGTCGATGGCCCATTTTAATTGTCCAACTCGAGATTGAAGGCTTTCTAGCTCATCATTCAGTTCATTTACATAACTAAAAAGTGCAAAGTTTTCCTCTTCTTGTTTCACAAAATGCGCCGTTAGTTTGTCAATTTCTTCTTCGCCTGGAATAAAATGATCTGTCTTAGATTATAAATGTGTATTCATCTTGGTGGATGGAAAATGAATTTTGTACCATAAAAATGTCTTTTCAGACGTGTCTTACAGATTAAACTTAGGCTGCGTATAATATTTTTTCGGTGAAAGAAAACGAATTACCTGTGAACTGTCTGATGAGTGTTAAAATCTGGGTATAGATTGCTACTTTATTCTGCATTTCTTCCCGCTTCGCTTGTTTTTCCGCATCCTTCTTTACATTTAGGTCAGCCATTACTCGATATTGACCCTTAACCCCAAGGAAATCTTGCAGTTTCAATTCGTTGTCCAATGTTCGTTGTAATTCACACATTTCCGATACATGACTCTTAAGATCTCTGGCACCCCTTTAATAAGTATTAAAAATCGAATTAATAGTTACATTAAATTAATATAACGTAACGTGCAAGGTACAATAAATGCCTGAAATTGGAAATAAGCGTAAACGGCTAGCAGCGTGCGTATCGTTTGTATCGTCCAGAAGGAATGTTTGGTGCCATTCACAATGGGCATCGTGCAGTGTTAGTGCCAAACTGTTATACGCCGAGATGTGAGTCTTCAGGGTAAATGCACATTGCCTCCACCTATGGAGCAGCAATGCTCATTTTCCAGAGAGGAAAACTAGACCCCGGTGAATACAATGAAGGCCCTTGCTCGCCGCCCTTGTTCTCGAGCCCGAGGATGGGACTAGCCGGGGTCCCGGGAAAATAAACACCCAAATTTATGGCCCGGACCCGACGGGCACCTACGTCGCGCCGCCGTTCGATGGTAGGCGATGGTCTGACCATGACTTCATGGGATTTCGGCAATTTTACATCGATCTTTTTATCATTACTTTACCGAAATGATATATAGAACACTTCAGTTTGTGTCATTCTCAACGTAGAGAGTAAAAGACTTCAACATAAATGTAAATGTTGGTAATGAGACGTACTAGCTTATGTTACCACTTGAGTATTCAAAATGGCATTACCACCAAAAAGGGTACAGATGAATTTTACTTTATCGACGTCCATTAAATTTCTTAGTGCCTTTCATATCCTCTTAAGTTAACACAACATGGCAGTTATAAGGTGTGGACTTACCATCTATTTTCTTTATAAAATGAATAAAGATAGTCTGTAAGCGGATTGTCATGTATCATAGTGCGTGGGAGATTAGAATAATTAAAATAGGTTTTTAATTTATTTCCCAGATAAAATAACATTATGAAATCGTTGTTTAAAGCCATACCTTTCTCGTAATGCGTGTATTTTGTTGAGCTCTTCATCTCTTTGGTTAAAGGTGATTGTTGACTGTTCAATCAGGTCGTTGATAACTTGCTTGCCGGTGTTAAGTTGACCAATTAACCTTAGCCACAGAATATTAAACTGTCCTCGCTCTTTTATTAAACTGTCAATTTCTTGTCGCAGTTTAGCATTATCAGCTACTACACTATTGAACCTCTTTGTTGCTACCTCAACGCGGTTCTCCAGAATGAAAACCAATCTGCTATGCCTTAGATTCGCTTCCTTTGATTGTGAATCGGTCATGACTTTTGATTTGAGACGATATACCTCATTAGAAACCTATATGAGAGAGAGAGAGAGAGAGAGAGAATACAAAATATGTTAAAGCAATATCAATGACGATTATAATAGAAGTTGAAGCGTAACATTCTTTGGAACGTTTATTAGCCTTCAATATATTATTGTAATATTAATAAATCTGAATCATATATGGTTTACGATAACATGTAATTATGCCGATAATTATATCAATGAAACCTATTGGTACAGGAATGAGATATTTCATAATACAGGAATTGTGAAGCTGAATTTAACGTTAAAAACAATCAGTGAACGTAACAGCGCTATCCTTGTCGAAAAAGGAGTCGAAAAGTCCTAAACTCTTTTCTTTTCCTACAGTGCGTAAATTTCCTGTAACTAAGTCAAGCACAGCCAATCGATCGCGTTCCCCAACGGTAGGCATAGCGGAGAGGCCGCCGGTAGGGCTGCTACGTCGCAGATAACCGAACGCAGCCTTACCGGCATCCTCTCCGCTACGTCTTCCGTTTGGGGACGCGATTGATTGGTTGGGCTTCACTTATGTTAGTTGTAGTAGAAAATAGTACAGGACATTTCGACTCCTTTTTCAGCAAGGATAGCGCTGTATAAACCGCGATTACGAGATCTGTTACACCATGTATAGAGTGAACAGCTTGAACATGTAGGGTTTACCTTAACAATTTGTTCATCTAATTCAGAAATCTGTTGCCTTTCCGTGTCGATCATTTCTATATACTTCATTCTCTTTTTCAACAAGCATTTTAGCGTCTCGTCCATTTCTTCATCTTTCTTTGTGTTTTTGTCAGACTTTGCTGTTTTTATGGCCAAAATAAGTTCCGCTTTTTCGAATTCGAGGCGGTCGATCATATTTTGTTGATTTCGCAATTGCAAACGGGCGTCCTCGGCATAAGTAATTCTGTCGTTTTCCATTATTCGATATTGCCTCTTTAACCTCGAAAGTTCGGCCTCCGCCATCATCTCCACTTCCTCCTCGTTCTGGGCCGCTTGTGATTTTAAGTTGAAAGCCATCTTGACAGGACACTTCTAAAACTGTCACTGAGGAACATACTTTTTAAACAGATCGTTGCTACGTGTAATTATACAATGATGCAATCTAAGAAATTGTTTTACAGACGAACAAAAAAATGTATGTATGTTAGTATCTTGTTAACATTATTTCGGTGAAGGAGTTATGTTATTATTGCAGCAGTACAGAAATGGTAGAATTTGTCCGTAGTTGACATATGTGATATATGGACTACATTTAGTATTCACATCAATGCTTTTTTATACTCTACGTAACATATATTACATTAGTCTGTTAAGGAGCATAATTTAAGCGACGCGAGAGTTAATTATATGTTCCTGTTGTGGGAACTGGACCTGGAGAGAAGAGTCAGGTATTAAATAGAATAGAAAAATCATCATTTTTACGTTGAAACTGTGAGACATTGAATCCTATTCCATTCAAGCCTTACCTATTGTTAGTGAGTTTATTTACAATTCAGGTTTCCATTATGAATATTACATTTCAAGGATAATAAAAATGTAATTATATAATAATAGGAATGCTGTATCTAGTGCCCAAACTGTGTTTCAATTTTGATATTGCAAATTGTTTTTCTGTATCGGATTAAGGGGCAATATGTTTAATAGTAGTAACTATATACCAAATATTGACAATTAAGCGACGAATACATTATCAAATTTGTCCGTATGTTTTTTCGGACCATCAAAAGTGAAATCGTAATTTGAAATCAATATCTACAACCTTGTATAAACTATAAAATATTAATACAAATCACACTGTGCATTTCATTATGAGATACGATAGAAAATTAATTATTTGAATGAAATTGTAGGAACTAAACATGTAATATAAGCATAATTTTGTACAGTGAAAATAATCAATTTAATATTTCACGAAAGGAGTTCAATTCCCTTCTTCCTGGATGTTTCTGCTATATAGAATAAAATGAATTTGAAAATATAATGAAAATGAATGTTAAATAAGGATAAATTCAAATCCTGAAATTTGTTAATGAGTGAGCGACGTTACAATAGATGTCCCAATATTGAAATAATTCAATCATATAATGTAATAATTGTTCCGGTTATAAGACAGTATTGAATAGTTAAAAAATTAATTTACTTTCGTAATTTCACTCGTAACGAAATATTTTCAGTAATGAAGAAACAATGGTAGGTAACCCACAGTTTTGTTTCTAAGTAAATTATTTAAATAATATAAAAAAAGAAGAACCTTGAAAATTTCTTTCTTTGAAAATGGATTTGCAAGGTCGCAGTAACACGTGACTCAGGATCAGAATAGTACATAATGAGAAGAAATCAACTTATAAATGTGTAATTTAAGTTTGAAGCATGAATGCATTGCATTCTTTTATAATTAACTATAATTCGAATTGCAATGATCATGAAATTAAATCAAGATATTACGAAATTAAACAACAAAATATTTCAGTTATAATTTTCATTTGTAACGTAATGAAATATGACGCGAAATATCTACTCTGTAAAAATATTTTTCTTTACGATTGTTATTTACCCTGCTCGTTTGGGTGAAGAAATGGGCAATTTACTATTAATTATTAGAGATAACTGCCACACTCACTGATGATTAAAAAAGGCTCATTCGAAAACTGTTCTAGTTTAAAAATAAAGTAAAAAATTAAAGATTAGTATATGTGTTGCATGCGAAGATTAATTATAAATAAAATTCTAATTAAAACTCTACGGTTAGTGGACCGATATGAGAATAAAATGTATAGAGCTTACATTTATATGTCAACTAAAGTCAGAGCAGCGTCATTTGCCCTTGCTTCGTGACTTCCTCGCAGCTTTCTCGAGTCATGCTTAATTACCTCACTCTCTTGTGAATTTTGATTCGATCGAGCAAGGTTTTTTAAAGATTTCTCCAGATGACTTGAGCGTTTTCTGACAGTTTTCCCGTGTCATCCACGTCGTCGACCTTAATGATCTGTCCTCCGATGCAGTACTTTTGCCCAATATGATCCTCGAAAACGTTCGAGAGCGACATTTGAGAAGAAGAAAAGACATCTGTTCTTCTAGCTTTTCCGTACAGCTTCTATAGCTGTACTTCGTCTGTTTCTGTCGTCAGGAAGAATATTTTGTCATCTAGGTGAGTGCCCGAACGGTTCACTGTAGACACGAAGTATGTACAATGCAGATCGCCCCTAGTTAGGCAACAAATTGTTTTTATCCTTGTCTAGCTCGGTGCGTTGCTAGAAAATAACACGGAAATAATGAGTACTTCTATCAACGCGCATGCACCGACCCCTGCTGGAAAGAGACGGGATGGCCTTTACATATGGATGTCGCAATGGGCAATCGTGGTTCTGTTATTCGTTGCCGGGGTAACAATATCTGTTTGTCAGGCTTGTATTAAGGAATCTGGACTTCAGGGTCGTTTCGGTTTCACTGATTTGCTATACGGAGGAATTACCTCCAGCAGATAATATGTAATTGAAACAGATAAGAAACTTAATTGTTACTCATTAGAAAATTGAAACATTAAATTGACTCAGTGAGATGTATTTTCAAGAATGTCTGCTCCCCGAGGAAAAATAATACATACAATCGTATGTAATTCTGTATAATCATGTACTTTTTCGCATATGGTTATTCAGAATTGCGTATAATAAAGATATAATGGTGTCTGATCAGGTACGGAATGTATATTATTTATATATGATCAAATGTAGTATCAGATGTCATCATATATGGATGCCTACGTGACCAGATATATTCTTGCATAGCTATTAGGGAATAACATATAATCAGATATAATGTTATTAGGAGTAGGGAGAGGCCGAGTTGAAATCAAAAAGACAGAATCAATTAGATTTTCAATGGGAATAGACACCCAAAATTGAATAGAACTAGAGTAAATTCGTGTCCAGAACCAGACTAAAGTTTAGAAGCGCTATTAGATTGAAAGAAAACCGGAGTAAACCGGAATCCGAAAATAATTTATGAAATAAAAAGTTACAGAGACGGAGAAATCCTTATCCAATCCTGAAAAACCAGCGGTCTCTGCCACTGTGGTAGTCATCGCGTCCCTAATTCTCATTCCTTTTTGAGCCCAATCCTGGGACTGCGCTACTGCAGCATCTCCCAAAAACGAAGATTGGAACGTGAAAAAAAGGAAAAAAGAAAAAGAAAAGAGCCATACCTTCGATTGACAGAAGTCAATCGAAGCAGGTTCAGACAAAAAGAATACAGAGGAAGTGTAGCTCCGTACCTTCGGCCTGGTCAATGCGACAACTCTGCAGCAGGAGCTAACACGATCTTCAATTGTGAAAGACAGCTCGGATTCTATCATTGTGATTGCCTCCGATCCACCGAGCTTCCACAGTCAGATAGAAGAAGTGCACAAGAACCTATCACGAAACATCTATGGAATCTGAGAAACCCTAAAAGCCAGTGGATATCCGAAGCTGGATAACCTAAGTTAAGTTGGTACTAACACCTGTACAACAGTGCTCCATGAATCCAATAAAAGAATTCAGGCCAATTTGAGAATTGTACAAAATAAGAAATTACGGGATTAACTGGATTCCGAAATACGCAGGAAAGCCAACTCATTTGTACCCACACCTTGAATCCTTTCTATCCGGATTCGATGATGAACAGTTGGCGTACTCTTGTGAGATAAATCGTCAATCTGAGAGTTCAACTCCTATTCAAAATTAAATCCATCTCAACAAAGTGAAAACGATTAAATAATCAATAATCAAAGTTAGTTAAGAATCTCAGAGCGTTCGAGAAATCGAAACACGAATTTGATTCGGAATTTCGGCATCGATCAACTGAGTAATCGAAGCCGAGACTCACAAGAAACCCACTAATTGTCTGCGCGGCACGAGAAATTGCGATCCTGCTCTAATTCGCACGCCTACTTCTCTCTTACTCGGGTATTCGCACCTCGGAAACCGGCGATTCAATATTCCCGGAAAATTCTGACGCGGCTCGAACTCATGACGGTGTGGAGAAGATGATGCATATTGCACGGCCTAAACCGTACCATTACAACGTATATAAGATATTTGGCATAAACATATATACGTGTAATAGATGAATACAAAAATATACGGAATGTTCTGGGGAATGTATATATGACTGCGCCGTCTACAGGCAGTATACGTATTTTTGAACATTCATATAATACACTTGGAAAAGTACGAATATTATACGTGTTTTATACGTATATAAGACGCATTCCAAATGTAAGTGGAATAATTAAAGAGAGTATAATTTATTTTGCACCAAATGCGTTATTTTTAGAAAGAATTTTCCATAATTTGTTCTAGGACCTGAAATCTTTACGATATACAAATATCTGACACTAAAAAAATCCCCATGGTGGTGAGCAGGATTTGAACCCTAAATCGGGTAACAGGTTATCACCTCAAAAACACGGTGGGTGTAAAAAAACCTTGGGCCAAATACATTCAATTGGAAAAGTATATTTTGTAAAGTCATATCCAGGTAGAGGCGATTAATCGAACAGAAACATTGAAATCTATTACTTTTGCCAAATACGTGTAATGGGTGTTATATGCAAAATAAAATTTTACGCAAATATGCTCATAAAATAATAATTCAGCACATAGAGGTAATGAATCTTGCTAAACACATATAGTATGTTACATTTAAAACAAAATATATCTTAAAAATAAAAAAAAACATTTGGCGAGCCACATAATAATATTTATACTCGCAAAAATCTCGAATTCGATATGATTGCTTAACACGTTCGCTACCAACGCCGCAAATATGCGTCGTTTCAATTCTTCTCTGGGAGTCCGGCGCCACAAATATGGCGACGTGAATCATGGGCTGTGGTACAAGATTTTCTTCCCAAGCGCTGGTAGCGAACGTGTTAAGAGGATATGAAAGGCGCTAAGAAATTTAATCGACATCGATAAAGTGAAATTCATTTATACCCTTTTTGGTGGTAATGCCGTTTTGAATACTCATGTGGTAACATAAGCTGGTGCGTCTCATTACCGACATCTATATTTATGTTGAAGTCTTTTACTCTCTACGTTGAGAATTACACAAACTGAAGTGTTCTATATATCATTTCGGTAAAGTAATGATAAAAAGATCGATGTAAAACTGCCGAAATGCCATGAAGTCATGACTGTTTATATTTTAACGAACCAACGTCGCCATCTGTGACATTTACGTGCAACTAAATTTTTGCTCTAAAAACACATATCAACCACAGGACAAGCCAGAATTCTCTTGCAATCATCGGTGTAAAATATTTACCACATTTTCCCATCTGGCTCTGTAATATCAAGAAACACGGTAGAGTTTCGCGTCAAACATGCATACACATATTTGCATACGTACACTGGACTCCATCGATGGCTTGCACCTGGTTCGCACTGCCCTCTCCGGCCGCGCAGCGTACTAGCGGCGGGAGCAGCGCGGAATTCGAATCGCTCGAGGGGCAGAAAGGATTTCCTAAAGAAAATAAATATTTATAAACAAAAACAATTAATGAAAATTATTTTAGTATTACTGTGGAGCGTCCCCGACCCACCTAACGTAGTTTTTGTTAAATAATAATTTACAGAGTTTTATAAAGAATATAATAGAACATGTTCTATTAAATGTTAACAAGTTTCTTAGTGATTCAATTGTTCCATTCACTGAACCGAAGTTAGAATATTATCTTAGCTTAAAAGAAATAGTTTCTATATATATACAGTGAAATACCGTCGGAAAATTTACGACGCATCAACTATCGGACATAGAAACGAAATCGTGATTTCATGTCTCTTATATATTTACGTTCTACACCATTCTTCGTATTTCTCGAATAAATGGACACCTGTAAATCATTAAATCAGCATGTAAATGAACACCCGTAAACATAAGAAAGACTTTTCTTATCCGAGTTTATTATAAACGCAAATCGGAGTAACTCTTACGAATTGATTTCATTCGAAGTAGGTATCCAAAACGAAAAACCCCATTTCCATTTCGTATTTGAAATAAGAACAATAAACTGTTATGGATTTCAAATTTTAAATAGATTTTGAATCTATTTGCGTTTGAAATTAAATACTCCCAGAGAAATGAGAATATTAGAAAAGAGTCGATCAGAATGATACTTGTTCTATCAACTGAATCAACTCTCGAAAAAGTTAAACATCACGGGTAACTCGAAATAGCCACATTGGCAAAAACAGATGAGATTAAATTGTTTACTTGCATTTTAAATACAAATACAAGTCATAAAATTACGTGTCCGAAAAAGGCATGGACAACGGAGGGTTAACATTACGACTAGATGGCACGGTTAATTCGAGACGACATTTCTCGTGGAGGAATTGATCCTCCGTTCCCTCTGTTAATTACTTGATCGCAGTCGCTGCAAAATGACAATCCGCCTTGCGAGCCGCGGAAGGAAGGGGCGATAAGGCCCCGAGGGTGAACGACGGCAAGCGAGAACGCCGTCGGGAGGCATAAGATCCGCGAGAGAGCAACGGAGAACACCGCTCCGGGTGGAACGAGACCGCAGCCCGGGGTAGAGAAAAATGTATTATAATTATATAATTTTTTCGACGGTGCGATGTTCAGTACAACTAGTACAATCCGGTACAACTAAAGACCCATTGTTTTCAAAAAAGTAGGGACTAGCTTAAAAAACAGTTTTTTTAAATTTGTTAATTAATTATTGAAGTTAGGGCAATTGTTTCAACGGTACAGCACGGTACAAAGTGAGTACAATCCAGGACAACAAAATTTTCATTTTCGAAAAAGTAGGGGCCAACTTCACGGATACGGTTCTAAATCTGTTTTTTGTCCTGTGACGCTCGGTGTGTGTGTGTGGGTGGGGGGGGGTGGGGGGGTACGAATCCCCGTCTAGGGCAGCTCATGTCGCGCATGCTCTTCCCCTCACTCTATTGCTTTAATTCGTCCGTGCTGTCATCTAGTGCTCTGTTTGGTTACTATTTATTGGGTATCAACAAAGAATTCAGAAGTCTCCATAGAAGCCCAGTTCCCGTGTTAACGCTTGATACCCAATAAATAGTCACAAAGTGGAACGCTAGATGGCAGCACNCCGTAAGAGAGAGAACGCATGTGTTAGCCAACTGTATTCGACACCACGGGAGAAAGAGAGATGTACAGAAGGAGGCGGAGTTTCTCCGAGAAGAGTGGGAGAGGCCTGGTAGCCAGTGTGAGTAAGACGAAGAGAGAATGTATTTCCAACATAATGAGAGAATATGAGATAGAAAATGGCAGGGAGAGAGGGGTGGAAGCGACCGCGGCGCCACCATGCAGTTGGCTAACATAACTAAAATGTTAGCCAACTTTTTCGGGCATCAGAGGCCCGTATCCTTCTGGGCTTCTATGGAGAGACATCTGTATTCTTTGGTATCAAGCGTCAACAGGGGAACTGGGCTTCTGCGGAGACTTCTGTATTCCTTACCCTGGAGCAGTATCCTGCAGTGTCCCGAGTGTGCGAAATGGTGCGAAGTGGCGAGCACTGGCGTGTACTGAGCTGTCACCATGCATCGCATATTCATTTAAGTTTTATAATTTTCAGGTCAATCTAATCGCTCCGCATCGCAGTGACCACGTGTCTCGGACCAGCCGGAATAATTTGGTACCCCTTAGGTGTGTGAAAATCCTGTTCGCCAAATTATAGCAGATAAGTTTGTTATACTTGAAGAATTTTGAAAAGGTAAAATTATCAATTGGTAATTTAATTTCAGGGCATTTCAGACATCCGATGATCTTCCTGAAATTCCTGAACCAGAAGAAGTGTTCAACGAAGCCCTGGGACCAGATATCGAAGCCCTCGATCCAGGGATCCATAGAATGATAATTAATTAAGGTAAAATTTCTATCCCATTCGTTAACAAGTCGGCTAGGGAATTAATAGAATGGTTTTAAGTTTCAGGTTGGGCCTCCCGAATGCCCTGGCCTAAAGGTGGAAGATGGTGAAATGTGAAATGTCATTCGGATGCCTCCGTCGTTGAGTCAACAGGTATGTTTTATTCGTTTCAGGTGGTAAGGAAGGGCTTTAAGGTTATTTCTGTCTCTCCTGTCACCAGAGATCCGAAGGATGTTGAAGATGGTTGTTAGGCAATGCGACGTAAGGCTTGGTTCACCTATTTAACATGGGATTGAGTTGTGCATCGTAATCGGGGCTTCGCGAAATTAGAACAGCCCTCATTGGTTCGACGATGAAGGTAAGTACTTAATTGGATATTTAAGCCAAATAAGTATTTTTATTGGTTAATTTTTATGGGCTTTGAATGTCGAAGGACAATTGGTTGCTGGTCTATACCAGGTGGCTGCTAGGAGCTGCGTCAAGCTTTACCCCTGGACCCTGAAATGGACTCCGGTTGTAATAACAGGTAGCTTCTTTTCCTACTTAATGACCTGGCACATTTTAGATAGCCCTACTTATAGTCAAAGTTCACACAAGACATCCAAAGTACCTATCACATTCCTGGCTAATAATTTATACAAGCCTCGACCACAAAGTCACCTAAGAACTTTTCTAACCAAGATTTTACTAAGGATTCTACTCAAAATTCACTCAAGTACTCTCTATTACGCAGTCAGAAATTTTACTTGCAGTTACTCTAAGGTTTGGCTATACTCGCCTCGGCGATCAGTTACATACCTTCTTATTTTAGTTCTAGAATAACCCATATGATGTTAATATCGCTGATATGTTAATGTATTAATTATTGACCGGAAAAACTGATTACTAATAAGGCAATTGCAGTTAAAATCTACGATGACTGTTAAATAAAATTCCAAAGCAGGTGGTGTCTAAATGGAAGTGGTAATGGCCTTTACACTACACGATATAGATCGTAGGTTAGTCGATATAGGTCGATATAGATCATTTGTAGGATTTATACAAATGGGTTTCTAATTATTGATCCTTTTTGTAAAAATGTTTCGTTAATAGTTGGAAAGGACGCGCAAGCGTTTGAATATAATTATGTATCATTAACAAATTCTTAAAGGAATAAATGTCATATAAACTGGTATAGAGATTTATTTACATATTTTCATGTTATTCATTTCACACATTCACTCAAACACATGTACACACCATGGATTCATGCACGACGTAAGTTTATTTTTTAGCTAGTTTAGTAAAGAAACTGCTCTGATTTGTATCTCATTATTCGATGGCTTATGAAGAATAAAAGTAGATTGAAAATAAGTAGACACGTAACTCTCTTTTCGTATCAATGGGCTTTAGCTTGAAAGTGAAACCGGAACAGCTACCGTTTTGCCAATTTTTATGCCAATTTTATGTGGACTCGTACACGCATTTATCGAAATTTGCCAACGCCAATGAATTTTCTTGAATGCTCCTTCGTCTCTTGCTTGACCGGTGTCTGTTTAGCCTTTCCTTCGCGTCACGTTCAAAATCAAACCGATCATCGGCCACGATAACGCGGTAACCGGTTAGTACGTGTGGAAAGTACTGTAATCAGTGCCGACGTCATTTGCTCCGGGTTTACCGGTATGCGTGAAACAACCTAAAGAATGTTTCAGTTCATAATAGCGAGAGTATGTCGATATGATAAAAAATTGAGTTACGAATACTTATTTGTTGATCAATAGTGGCTATATCATTTTCATCCAGAAGAGACATAGATACTTATATTTGTCGTTTAAATATTTATGACATATGTTGTGTAACCATGTATATAAAATATATCTATATGTTTACAAAAGGCACTTATTTTAGGTGAATGATAGACGATGTACGTTTGCTATATCTTTCGCCCTACTTTATACGTATAATATACGGATATTACACTTCGTGCGGTGCCTGGGTGGCGGCCAAAAGTTTCCATAACGGCTACGTAAATGGGTAGCCCCCCACCATAGGAGTTTCCAGATCTGTATATAAGACTGTGGACCAAACGATAACCGTAAAGACACGTATCGATAAAAACCGAGCATGCAGATATTATCGCCTTCACAGCGTACTTAACTGGTACTATTGGGCACAAGATTGAAGCACGGTCGGGCCGCTTGGCACTCAAACGATTAAGTATCAAAAATGGTTGGAAGATACGTGTAAACTATGCTTGCCTTACGTTAGATATTGAATTTTAGCGATATATCAATAATTGTGATCGATCTGATTCGAAAACAGTTAATTTTACCGAAGGAGTGCAATCCAGGATATGGTCCGCGATTACATGTAGTGTCATAACTTCTTAATATTTACTGATTCTGTTAAAGGAACGGTCAAAATAATAAGTATACTTATTGTACATTTTAAATAAATTCGTTTTTTATACATTTTTTTTCATGGTATACATTGTACGTATTTATTTTTAAATGTATGTGTAGTGAATGTTTGCAAAAGAGATTCTTTTATCCCATAGTGGTAAATTCCTGATGCACATGGATCCTTGTTTTTATTCTTGACAGCGACTGAGGCGAAAATCAAAGCAGAGGAAAGGTCAGAAAGAGAAAGGAAGAGGTGTAGTGAGAGAGAAAGAGGATTTAATCTCGTCAAACAAGACTGACCTTACTCATTGGAGCAGTGTTTACGGCAGCGTTCACTACAGTGAAAGTATACGGACAGGATGTGATACATTATACTTGTTGGGACGTATTGTGACGAGTTTTAAAACCCATCATGAAGGAATCCGTTAATTTAAAACAGCAATTCACTTTTATATGAATAATAGCGGGCAGTGACATGTCGATCGTACTTAATGTATTTATCACAGGTCATACTTTTTAAGACAAATATCAAAAGTTAAGCGATGATTACAAATGACCGTACAAAAATAAACATTCAATTAATATCCTAAAGAAACATACTTTCAAAAGAAACTTGCATCATAAATGAGATAGTAAATAAACGAACAATATCATTGATGGACAAACATTAAAAAGAAATGATATAAGTTTTTAAACAACAATACACTTTGCATTAACTTTTCAAAATACGTATTTTCAACAGAACATTAACAAATGAAACAAGATCTTAAATAAACGAAACATAAATAAAATAAAATAAAATCTAAAGTAAACAGAATATGAGCCACTAATGGGATAAGTTTTTTAAAATATTTTTCGAAACTGTAACAAATTATCATCTCTTAGTCGATGTATTTTCTGTGTTGCAAGTAAAGCCACGTTCTTAATTGTGGAACTGTTCTTCCTGTCAAGTGTTTTTGGCAATTAGTTGCTGTATCGGTATCCCAGGAGGCATTGGGTGCATTCAGAGGAGACAACTGTTGAGTGAGCGCTCATCTTAAGATGGAGACAGTTAAAGTATCACAGGAACAATGTATGAGACTCACTTAAGTGAGCCAAAAGTTAATTTTTATTATTCTTCACAAACGGAACGATCTCAATTTAAACGAAACACTTAATATTATTTGTTAGATATAGTTATTTCATTACTTAGTAAACCTTCTGCTATTCTATTACCTAAAACGATTGTAGTTTCCCTTCCGTTAATTTAAGGATAGTCCTCGAATTACCCTATCGATATACTGTTATTTTAAAGACAGGGCTCAAAGTATCACTTCGAGGGCAAGTCCTCGAAATAGCTTTTAGGAATATGAAAGTACCCTCAAACAACACGTTGTACATATGCACATATATATGTATATACATACCCGGAACGATACGCGCGCGCGCGTGCGTGCGTGTAGTTCCGGGTGGGTAATCGTCTCTGTCGTCGAGCCGCCGATTTTGACTGGCCAACGATGGTCTATATTAATGAAGTTGCTTCAGGTAAAAGTGTCTCTTTTGACCCCCCGGTACGCCTAATGGCCCATACTCGGATTTGGACTCGACCGAGTCTTTCGATTTGTGTAGCTGGCTTTGTAACATGATTTAAATGCTTTTTGTATCGAGACTTTATATATAACAAACATTTTTTGTATAAGAGCAAAACTAACCGTACAATGTAGAAAGGTGTTTGTTACCCCTTCTCATATTTTTTATCGCTCATGTTCATTACTCTCTTCGGAATTTTCGCATCTTCACCGTCTAGCGACACAATCGTATATATTCACCTCGCATTAAAAGTATTATATTTATTGAGAACGTATCGAAGCACACTTTATTGTAATTATATTTACGATCAATCACAATTTCTAAATCAATAAACATACTACTACACTTTTGGCACGTTTTAGATATTTCTACTTACTAAGATTGAATTTTGTATAAGCATGTACGTATAAATTAATCGATTTACTTACGTATTCGTGTACACGATAAATATACGAGTGACACCCGTGGAATAATTTTATAATAACTATTATGGTATTACCGAAAGTCGAAACGTAAATGTCTAGAAACATGGATCTTTTTCACCTGAGTTTTCGAAAAATTGGCTCACCGAAGAAACTATCTTTGAAGAAACTGTTCCATATACCGAGAAACCGGTCGACCCATTGCGGGTACAGGTCCGAAACTCTCTCCTCGGTTGGAAACAATTCGACAAATGTCCGAGATAAGACGAACTATTCACCCGGAGAAGCGAAAGAACGCTCGAATCCCATTTTTGCATTAACGACCGGTGCTCGTGGCCAGGTGTGCCGAAGCGTTCCGGTGAGACGGGCAAGCCGGTTGGGAACCGGTTGGGAACCGCGTGGCACCGTGGGATCCAGTCAGGTGGTGGTTTCGCTCGGCGCGACGGTGGGGGGGTCGGCAGGGAAGGGGAAGTCGGAGGCCTTCCCCCCTTCTCGCGGACGTTCGCCCGGCCGAGAGAGTGACTCGCCGCCAGCGGGTGGCCGATCGCGGCCGGTCCTGGTTCTGGATAGCCTCGAAAGCCCGAGTTCGGTCCGACGCAAGCGGCGCGTTCCGGTACCAGGGTCTCCCGAGTTCCGCGATCGCTTCTCCGCGCTGGCCCCTTTGGTGAGTCACGCCAGTCAGTACCTGTCCGACCGTGGTGGCGCGCGCATCTCGACCGGTGGCACGCATCGCGGAGCGCGAGCTCGCGACGTCCTCGCGACATCCTCGCGGCTTCTGCCGCAGCAGCGGTCGGCGAACCAAGGGCACCGAACCTACCGAAAAGAAAAGAGGAAGAAGGGACAGAGATCACCGGCGCGTCCGCATACGTACTTTCTACGAGAAATCGACGCCCGCCTCGTCGCTCATCGCGGCGATTAACGGGGAAGAAGGAATCGTAGGGGCCCTGGAAGTCCCCGGGAGAATTGGTGGATCGTTACGTCGACCGGTGGCCCTGGAAAATCGCGGTGAAGATTTAATCGCGAAAGGGAGGATCGATACGCGGTGCTCCTAGCAACCGTGCCACCCGGCCCCGGACATTGGATACGGAAAGTCTTCGAAAAGCAAACCGGTGGACCGGATATTACCGATAGAAATCGCGAGGTGGGCGGGGAGGGGGGGTCGTGGGATCGTTAGGCGGACTCGAAGTGACCGGGTGCCGCGCGAGCGGTATAGCGGCGGTGCTTATGGCGTAAAACGGGGAAGATCGTTGGGTGCGATGTCGATGCGCGGAAGTGCGCGATCCGGCGACAGGAGCGAGTGTCGGGACGAGGTCGATCGGTGCCCCTGTGACGCGACGCGGTGTTCGGCGCGACGTAGCGTCTTCCGGAGCCGAAGCGGGTACTCTTATCGGCCGCTGATTGGCCGGTGAGGTTTAGTAACCTGCGCGTGGACGCTGCGCGGTGAGCGAGTGTTTACCTCGTGTCCACGATAGGCCAGGGTAGCGGCGCGGCGTTGGGTCGATCCCAGCGGTCGATCGTCGACTGCCCGTAACTTTAACGAGATGCGATAAAATGAGCATCGAGGTTAAGGTTACGCGGGCGCGAGCGTTATCGTTGCGATCCTGGGAGGACGCGGGCGTAGCACCCGCTGGACCGACGCCGTTTCGGGCCGCCCACTGCACCCGCGTATCGGTACCGGCCTAGTGGCGGTGTCGAGCCAGTACTCCCCGAAGATGCTACCCAGGAAGGACGGCCAACTGGAGCCGTACGCCCTCGAAGACATGATCTCGGACCTGCAAGCCCGGACGCACTCCCTCGACCACGAGGACGTCGTGGCCGACCCGCTGGAGCTCCTCAAGCAGCGCGAGCGCGACCTAGTGCTCGCCGCCGAACTCGGGAAGGCCCTGCTCGAGAGGAACCAGGAACTCACCAGGCAGAGCGATGCCTTCGCGGAGGAATACGCCGCCAAACTGGAGGTGAGATTTCGCAGCTCGCCGTCGGGACCGATGCTGGATCTCGCCCGGGAAGAAACATATCCGCTCTCTTAGCAACGCGCAACATTGCCGACACCCCTTTGCTCCACAGGGATAAGTGCATTATCAACGGACGCGTTTGCAATTGCGACTAGTGCAGTACGTTTATTCGAGTACTTCTAAAAGAAGGTCAATCGTGGTTTCAATTGCTTTGGCTGCAATTGTAAACAGCTGTTGGTGCATTTGTTGCCGTGGTGTCAGTGATTCGATGTAGTGCTTTGCTTTGAGTGCAGATGTATCTTTTCCCGCTTGGTTCTTTGGGACGTTGACGTCCTTACGGCGAAGAGGTTGCTAGATTACAGAGGGGAGTGATGCTAACGATGCCAGTGGAATTTAAACGAGAGATCCTAACGTAGCACGTGCATATTATGTGACGAGGCGCTGCGCTTGGGGACGCCGAGTGCATAAAAGAAATGATCGTTACCGTCTTTCGTTATCCTCTGAAAATGGCAACTTTAAGTACCGGCGGCGAGAAGATTAATGCATGCACGGAATATGGTTTCTTCGAATTGAAGGGGAATTAAAATTGAACGATACCGTCATTAATCCGTGAAAGTAAGTTACGGTCAATCGTATGGGATGTTAATTCATTACGATTTATTCTTGTAACATCCCGTTTTGAGAATCTATTAATTTCAGTCTTTAACAAAGAAATCTCTCCGCCCAAGTTGTACGAAAAAGGTTTTTTTCGTGAACCGGAAGAAGTAACGATGAATGACAACTTGATTATCGTACCGTATAAAAACGTGATGGTTTATTCAATGGCGGGAATTTCTTTACGTTCCACGTGGTACCGAAGCACTATCACCTATACCTGTATACGTTTTGCTTACTGATATTATCGTTAATAAAAGTTATGTTATGAGACGTAAAACTGGCAGGATCTTGAAACCTCGTCAATTAATTTAGGGTAAAATTGTCATGATATTTGTCAACCGAATGATACAAACGTATTAGGTGTACAATATTATGGAGATAGACAATATGTGCATTAAAAATCCGCTTTCGTCCCTTCACGATATTTGAAGACTTCATTAAGGTGATATGAAAGGATCATTCTATATACATGAAACGTGAAAGTATTCGTAAAACTTTTCTCCGAACTGGGTGCACCAAATAAATTGAGACTTTAGTACGTGATTATGAAGGCCCTAAGAAAGAACGCGATGCTCATGAAATTTCATTTTTCACAAAAAGACGTGATCTTGATTTTAGTCTAAGCTAAATAGAAAAAATTTCTTTTTTGAAAAATGAAATTTTACGAGCATCGCGTTCTTCCTTAGGGCCTTTATAATCACGTGCTGAGGTTTCAAATGATTCGGTGCACTCGGATTGGACAAAAGTTTCATAAATGTTTCGACGTTATATGTATATAATGCCCCTTTCATATCATCTTAAGATGACACTGAAATTGTGAAATGATCGAATCGATTCAAGCGCCATTTAGGTAACGAAACAAAAATAGGTAGCAATATAACCAAATGTCATGATGTCTCGTGAGAAAAATTAGAAAATGTGCTTGCGGATATTCTACAAATAACGCAAAATATTGCGATCAATTATTTATTTTTCCCTATTTTATATTGAAACTCGAAAAAATTGGAGCAAATTTTCGGCAATCATTCATCAAATACTGTTCTATTAGGTTTTTTTTTCTAGTTTATTACATTGTTGTATATTTGTTATATTACAAGGCTATTATGAGGTCATCCCTGTTGATGACTCCGAATTGAATATTGTCCTTTCTTACCTACGTTGTAGGATTTTCACGCATTTACAAATTTTATTTATTTTTCTGTTTCAACCTTTTTGGAAATAGTTCATTAGCAATTTATCGCTATTCTTTTATGGAGGTAGGTACGGTCATCCGAAACGTCAGTAAATCCCGGATGCTTTTATTTAGACACGGATTTGTCGCTAGTGACAGTATGGATGGTAACAGTGTGTACATTTTTTTTTCCTCAATTTCAATATGGTTTGGATAATCACTCCATTAACCTATTGGTTACCTGCCATTTTGGATAAGCATTTTTCACTTTGTCGAAAAAAATTCCCTTTCTCGTGAACTTAGAAAGTTTTAAAAAAGAAGCAGCGTAAAAAGAAAATTTATCTAAAACGAGAGAAAAGATAATTTGGACTTGATTGTTAGTATAGAAGGAAAGAGATACTTCGTTTGAGTTCTGGTGAAATTGAAGTGGAGAACTTTAACCCGGCGTGCGAAAGGCTCTGTGACACAAACCTAGATTATTCTTTTTTCGAAATTTCAAATGTTTAGCGGGAAAGTACTCTAAGTTGGGAAGTAGCTGCGCGAGATGGGGTAGTAATTTGTATAAAGTTATACGGCAGGTGTATAGCAAATAACAATAATAACAAAATACCAACATACTATTTAATTATTTTTATTAAGGCGTGTCAAACCCGCTTTACGTATCGTGCCATTTTTTCGTCCTACGCATACCGAATCGAAACATTCATTTCCTTTTATTTTGTGTAGTATAAACGTATATAGTTGTTATTTTAACAAGTAATTCCTCACTAGAGGTCTTCTTTGCAAGTTATGCATTTTTGGCTAAGATTGTCCTATCGGGTGCAAGTAAAGATATATTAACGTTGTTTTTTAGCAGAGCGAAATTTTCAAAATTTACGATCTTGTAAGTTAGGCATTTGAAAAGCTGAATTTAAATGACTAATAATTAAGCAATGATCGGTAATATTGAGATTGAACTCGATAGTTCAATTTGTTTAAGGTGATGTGAAACTGGGGTCAAAGAGGTCTCATTAAAGAAACTTTTCTCCGGATTGGGCGCACAAAATCATTTAGACTTTACAATGTGAACGTGAAGGCTATTTGGAAGGTCTTGACAACCATGAAATCTCAATTTTTTACAATTTCTTTATGAATAATTTGACATTTTTTTTATTAAAAAAATCAATTTCATGGATGTCAAGACCTTTTTATAGTTTCCTTATTCACGTTGTAAAGCTTTAAACGATTCGGTCCACCCAGTCCGGAGGAATGTTTCATAAAAGATTAACCCCTCAAATGTCGTTTTGACATGCCCTTAATTAATTTTAAATTGCAACCTCTACATGCTTAGCCGTATAAATACGTAACGTTAGAAGCATTAGGTATTTGGTTTGAAACTATTATTGTTGCATCTCCTATTAAAAAAGAGGGATTTAATAATTTTGATATTTTATCGAGTTCACTCAAGAAAGATACTTATACGCATAAAATGCATCGTATACATGAACAATTATACTAGCTCAGAATATCTCTTTTTATTAATGGCAATTATAGTTCCTTAGTTTAGAAAAAAATGTTTTCCATGTTAAAATAAAAATTTCCATTATCAATTGTTCGTAATTTTACCTCGTCCGAACTCGAATTTGAAATACTTATTGTTAGTAAGATTCATTGAATACATGCCGTTCTCAAATGAAGTATCAAAGTGTTTTCAAGAGCACCGGTTCCCATCACTAATTAGCATTGATGATAGATAATTATAAGGTACCTTTAATAGGTCGCCTAAAGTGTGGAATCATTTTTCGCATTATGACTGGCGTAGATTACGTAATTAATGATGGGATAATTTGATTTGTTGATTAAGGGAGGCGGCTAAGAATAAATCCCACGATTCGGGGTCTCTCTTGTTCGCAAAGGATATTAAGGTTAATTGATAAGAGGTAGAAGGTAGGTCGGTGGAAGTATAACACTTGTTAGTATGTGGGTGTCACACTTGCGTAGACACCGCGACTTTAAGAAGGAGGGTGCATTTAAGTACATCGATATATGCATATATGTAGGCGAGTGGGTTCACTGATTGTACAATAGTATTATTATGAAGTGAAACCCCCTTCAAATCAGTCGATTCGAATGCAACACTTCTTTTTTAAGGGTAAAAGACCAAACTGTCCGAGACTTTGACACGTCACTCCTGATCATCTAAGAATTGTCCTGACACATTCAAAATTTGGATGTTTGGAAAATATTTATTAACTTAGCCCAGACCAGAACCAACATGGCGTTGAGCTTATATTTCGATCAGTAGACAATTATCGAAGGCTCTGATATGAGAAACGAAAGGGTCAGGACAATTTTACGACAATTTAGAATACTCTGGTAGTCGATAAACTCGCATTTAAACGGAATAAAGGCAAAAAAAGTGTTGTATGCGCTTCCATGCTAACACAATGGGAATACGAGGTCTCGGAGTGAAAATTTAATTAACCTGGAAATCACAGATGGCGCAGGGGGTCCTTTGCAGTCAATTAGGGCCCCAGAAAGCATGAATCCAAAGGATTTCTGGAGTTTTACTTAGATTTCTTTATAATTATTGTACGAAAACGACAGGTGGAGTATGCCATTTGGTACAATACCCAATATAATTTGATCCAGCTGTCGATATGAAAAACGAACGTCGGCAACGTAGGCATTTAGGAAAATCTTCTTTATCGACGTCGATCAAGTTCCTTGACGTGTTTCACTTCACCTTAACCCAGGCACCGCACGAAGTGGAACGTCCGTATGTTATTCGTATATATATGTTCATTGAATGTTTGTAAGATATATATATAGATATCTATGAACTCGAGATTGAAACGCGTCAGTGCCGTCGTGCGTTCAGCGTGTAAATTTTTAACTTTAATCTTTAACGTAATTATATTATAAACATTTAAATGAGTCAGAACAGAGCTGCTACGTTGGTAGCATTTTATTTGTGTACCAAGTTTTATCCCTTTACGCTCAAGGTATTTGACAACTATATATACCAGTTACATTTCAGCGTCCCTGCAAGAGGATCGTTGACCGCAGCCACAAGAAAAAAAAAAAAACAGAAAAATCGCGCAGCGGAACGACGAGGAGAAAGTAATGACGCTTCCTAAACAAAATCGAAAACATATCTGGCATTTAGGAATTTACATTACTTTATTGTAATACA